CGTTTTTCTTATCGCTCCAAAAGGATTTCTTTTAGAATGTTTTTCTTCTTTTTAGTCTATTTTGTTCTTGTAAATCCATAATAATCTCATATTTTAATTAACAAATAAATAATTTTTGATAGCATAGAAAAAGTTAAATCAATTTTATATTTACAATCATTCAATGAAAAATTTTTATAAAAAAAATAATGAACAACAAAGTCATTTTGTTCATTGATAATATAGATATTGATTTGTTATCAATATTAAAAAAATCGTCAAAATCGAAATAGATATAACTTTTTTTACGTACATTTTCACCAACAGCCGGTGTATTACAATTTTCACGTTCACAATTGAGCAACCATGTGGTAGAATTTGTTCGTTCAGTCATATTAAAGATAATTCTATGTGATAATCCAGTTTTATCAGGAGCATCAGTCAAACATGTTGCACATAATTCTGTTTTTGTTTGATTAATCATTCCAGATAATGTATATTGTGTACAAGAACTAACTGGTATTGTAATATTACATGCGTCAAAAGTCGCATTTGAACCACGATATCACCATTGACCTTGAAATGGCTTAACGGGATTAAGAAGATACGTAAGTTGATAAAGACTATCGTTCATTTTTAATGAATTTAATAAATGTTTTCAAGTTCAATTCTTTCAAACAATTTATTAAAAGTTGTTTTGAACTCTTTTTCGAAAAGAATTTTAGCTACCTTGGAAACTGCATGAGTTATTCATATTTCATTTGTTTTAAAATTTAGCGAAATTTTGTTAGATCATGTCAGTTGCATTCTAGCAGTAGTAGTCACAAGGTATAGTTTTATTTTATATAGATTAATCATAAATCATCTGATGTTAACTGGCTTATTGAGAATGAATCGTCAAAGACTATTATTCATGGAGACAGATTTGAACACAAACTTTGTTTGATATATTCTTTAAATCAAAGAGTCCTGAGTGTAGATAAAGACAAGACTGTAGGCTACAAGTATTATATTGAACATTGTCTGAAGCCTTTTGTAAATGTAATATGAAAACAAAAAGAGGCATAAAGTGCAAGATGTACAAAACTGCTTGACGATCATAGTTGACTTCATACTTATCCGATGTTATTAATGATTTGACAGGAGGCGGCATCGATATAATATCGCAGCAATCATATTCGCCATACCTAATATTATCTAATCTTTGATTAAGTAACTCTATCGAATGGAGTTTAATTGATTAAATAAATGCAATATTATGTGGTCATGCAGTTGCCAAGGTAGCTAAATTTTTTTTCGAAAAAGAGTTCAAAACAACTTTTAATAAATTGTTAGAGAGAATAGAACTTGATGTAAATAATCACGGCAACTATCCTGAATATTTGATAAAATTAAATCAAAAATACCTCCTTACCTTTATATTTTTATTTAACGATATCAGAAGTTTTGGTCAGATCTAAGTACATCGCTAGTAATTTAGGTTTTAAAATACTTTTCTCGTATTCTAGTCTTATTTTCTACTGGAAACAACTATGGCGAACAAAATCATGATGTCATTGCTGGTGTCTTGCATTGTATTGTTATTGTGTCGAGGACCCGATCATGTTGTGAGGGCTGGATGTTCTGAGAATTGGGGGTGTTCAAGAAGTGGAAGGTGTTGGGGAACATGTAGTTTCTGGATTTGGAACTGGTGTTGGCTTAAGAGTCCACCCTGTCGCACGGACCAGGATTGCAATTTCCACCGTTGTGGCGACTGTGCTAGCAGGTGTAATTCAGGTGGTAATAGACACGCTTAGGAAGCTCGGATGTTTTCTCTAACTTATTCATATCTTTCTCCCTTGCTCATGACTTTGTGTCTATTTTACGTTTGTTCAAGAAGAGAAACGAATTGGAATGGTATTATTGTTCCTCTTGTAACTCTTCTCAAGATGACATAATTGTTATACACAATAAATATCTGGCTTGCTCAGTAAATTTTCTATTGAGAACAAGATTCATTCACCAACTGGCATTAGGAACAGTAAACTGTTAAAAACATTATCATTGTTTTGATGACATCAACTGAGTTGGCCGCCTCTTTTCAAAGGTAGTTATAACGCGTTTCTAAGAACGTTTAGACTCAGGAAATTTTCAAATGGGCTATCGACGATTTTATGTGAATGACGCATTGACATGTAAAAATAGGTTTCATTTCGAGTAGTGAAAAAGGCATTCAATATATCGGTATATTTACGCAAATTGAGTTTAGTTTATCAGTGCCATATGCTTCATAGCGAAAAGTACTCGAATTCACTCTTCTACTACTTCTTACTGACTAAAGCACCGACCAGTGCAATAACATTTCCACACGCATACTAATTATAGAGCCAATGCCTACTCAAAATATCAAATGAATCAATATTTGCATCTTTGAGTGTGAGGGTATGATGAGAATGAGCTACTACAATGTTTCATCTGGAACTCAACCAAAATCATCAGACGGCATAGTCTCTAGATCGATTGCTAAAGAAATCAATTCAAGACCAAATTCTACTCTGTTACACCGATGTGCATTGGTAAATGGAATCATAGTGGGAGTATTATGAAAATGAATTGCTGCGACCAGTTTTTTGGTAGTGTCGAAAGTAGTGTTTTCTTGAACACGTTGGTCTGTCTTAATAGATGTCTAATTGAAGAGTTTTTAGGTTTCTGAAGGTACTTGTTATTCATTCACTTCTAAGTGATAGAAGAAAATGATCATGATCGTTGTGGATGATAGTGAAGTTGAGTATTTGAGATTATTTGATTTTGAACTCGTGCTTGACATTTTATCTGGTATATTGATCTGAAATTTATCGAAAAGAGTGAATTAGAAGGTGCATTGAGTTTGATTTAGCATATGATGTCTACAGTTTTTTTAAACGATTAGATGATGAAGTATATTAAAACTGCAAATAAGACAGGGAAAATGTGTGATCGGTATGATATAAGTTTATGCAATGAGCATAAACTGCAATGTTGCATGTAAAAATTATGTTCAGAGGAGAAGATGTTCCCGGGGCTCACTCAGTAATAGTGACTACGTAGCGTTGTTGTTTTTGTTGTTATTTTAGTAGTATGTATATTGATCAAAAATGCTCGAGGAGGCTTCTTTTTGACAAATACTCTTTCGAGACACGGATGTAGTATTGGTCGATTGATAAGTTGAACGGCAACCACGAGTGATGTTTTGGTAACGTAGTTTTTTTCCACAGTTCACGATATTCTTGATTGAATTGCTTTCTTAGACTAGCTTCGAACGTCGAGCATATGAACAATTTCTTGAGAGTGTGAGTGGGTCTAGTCTGCCATGATCCAGACCTCGACCTTGCTGAAGGATCTCGTTAGATGGCTTTGACTCTGCCAAAGATCATAGATAAGATACGTAATCTACATTACGAATGACAACTTCTCAAAGAAATATCATCGAACTAGTAGATATTCTCATAGCAGGGGTGGCCAAGCTAACTACGAACCAGATTTCGGCCTAGGTTCAGGATCTTATCAGATACCGTTCGGTCTTCTGTAATCTCGGAAATGATATTATAGTGTTGTGGGTAGTGTTCGAAATGAATATGGTTGTTCGAGTGCATGAAGTTTGTTGATGCTGATGGAATGATACTGATAGTCGGGAAACCGGATTTTTTTGCAGGATTGTATAAAGCATCATCATTGTAATGGTTTAGGGTTTTGATGATTAGGTTGGAGATTATGGAAGGGCTAGATAACTTGTATTATTCTTTCGCATTGATGTTCAAGTAAGTTGAAATGATTGTTATCGAAGATTTTGTGAAGGAGTGACGAGGAAAGATAAACCTCTCATCGAATGCTCATTGTGAAGGCAATTTTGTAAATGTTTTATTGTTCGGTGAATAAAGAGTATTCTCACGGGTAGAGATCTTGAGATTTCTAGCTCCATTATCTGTTGGAAGTGCGATTTTCCTCAAGCACAGTTGGTTTAGTGAGGATCAGCATCATTATTTTGATGATCCCGTCTGGAAAAATGAATATCATGAGAAAATTACTGTAATTGTCTGTAAATATTGTGTTCGTTTGTACATGCATCATAGCCAATCTCTTTACTATGGACTTGTTCCTTGTAGTAAAAATCTATTCTATGTTGCAGGCATTAGAGAAGAGGACGTTTTTTCTGAACTATTGTTTGGAGAAAAAGAAATTTGATCAATGTCCGTCATACTTTCATCGATGATGATCATTTATTGCTTGACATGATGTTCAAGCGAGGTACATATCACAACGATTGAGCAATATGAGATTAATAATTTCAGCAGTAATAATCATAACAAAATCAGTATTTAATCGATTATTTCCACTATTATGATTATAATCGATTTTTAAAAATATTCTAAATCGATTATAATCGAACTAACTGAAATAATCGATTAAATACTGATTTTAATATGACTATTACTGCTGTAATGATCGATTAAAATCGTATGATCATAATCGATTATTAATCGATTTTGACCTCTCTAAAGCTGATTTTTTTCATATTTTTTTACATGGATCACAGCCGCAGATCCACACTGGGAGTGCAATTCTTTTTGCACTATCCAATGAAAACTGTTAGTCGTTAATCTCTCGATCGCATGTTATGTTTTTTTGTCCTACTCATATTAAATGAATAAAAAATGTTATCCACTGTTTTATTTTATCTCTATAGTGGGTTCTTTTTCTGTGTATGCTTCTCTTACTGATAAAAAACTTTTTATTGCTGTTCTTTTTTGGACGGATCAGCAAAGTGATTGTGTTTTATCTCAAATGTATGACGAAGTTTTATCTCCGTTTCTTCAGCTCTGTGGAACACGAACCTTCTTCTGGATATTTGCACGATACTTGATATTTTTCTTCTCTATGTTGTCCGTTTTGTATGAGTAAGAAACGGAAAGTTATTTACTTATGACGACTATTTTATCTTTACTTATAATACAGTGATGAAACGGTTTTAGCTGAGTAAAAAATAATACAGCAGTACAGATACAATGGGAAATGCATCAACAACAGAACGACAAGTTTTTATGGTTCAACGAGTATACGAATCGACATCTAGGATCGGTTCAGCTTTCGCAGGATCACGTGCACATCCTGAATTTTCAGAGGAGAACGGCATGCAACTATTGGAAGGTGTTAGGTTTGATATTTTCTCAAGTCCAATATGTCATTGAACAAAGATGATTTCGCACTATCAATCGGGATCTTGTCTATTACAAGAAAATCATAGCTATATTTAGGATGATGAACAACATACTATGTTGGAAAAACCCATACAAGATATAAGGAAAAATCCTAGCGAGAGAACAGAAAGAGAAAGTGACATATATATATATGACAGAAAGGATGACACATATATAACAGTACGAGAGAAGGGAAAAGATCACACACATATATGACGAACAGATAGAAAAGAGAAACACTTCATATTACTATCTAAGAAAGGCTTTTCTATTATCTGGCTCGATTTAAATGTTAATCAAAACAGTCAAATACCAAGGACTACAAAAAATTTGGAAAAAAATGTAGTAAATGTTCATTCAATAGCTAATTTCCATGAATGTGAACGATGGTATGAAATATAATGGTGATAAAACGGTGATTTTCATTGTCTCCAGCGAATTCGAGAAGAAAATTGTCTCTTCGATTCACCATTTAACATTGATAATGGCTATTTATAGATATTCATTGAATTACAAAACTGACAGCAAGTGGGCATAATATTATGAGAAAGTACGTAATATAGTATTCGATCTTAATGAACGCTTGAAAGTAATATCTGGAGACTTGACGCGTTTTAAACAAGTCTACTAATTTAATAATCAACCTGTTATGAGATCCCAAACGAAGAAAAAGTTGAAAAGTGACGCAGAAATTCTTTCAGGTGTTTAGCAATATTTAATATAGATAATGAAGAAATGATAATTTCTTTTAGCTTTTCAATCTGCTTTTCAAATTGTTCTTATCGACATATAGAAAAATTTGAATCTATTGGCTACCGTCATGTTGAAAACGTTACTTGTTGTGTCGGATTATTCTATACTTTTATTTGACTATACTTCACTCATTGATCTTAATACATTGCCGAAGAAGACCACGTGACTCTTTTTCAGTAGCGAATTTGCATCTACAATGGGAAATAAACCTGAACACATCAAGGCAGTTTTTATACTGGAAAATGATAAAAATAAGGTCAATCAGCAAAAAAGATTTGAGAATGGTGAAGATCTGATTGGTCAATTGGCTGATGAAGTATATCGGTGGTATAAAAAAGAGGCGAATGATTTTTCTTACATCTCGTGATTTATCAATGGCAAAATCAAAAGAAAACCAAGCAGATCGAATTCATAGAGAATTGAAAAGAATACACGAAAGTTATTGTGAAGATGATCAGAATATTAAGGGTTCAATTTCTACTACAACAAAGCTTGTGTGGCTTAAATCAAAATTGCAAAATAATATTGAAGTAAAACAAATAGAAAGTCTATTTTCTACATTTGTTTCTTCATATCAAGCGTTTAAACATCGAAGTTGACTATAAGAACTATTTACTCGAAAACAAATCTAATGATGTCGCATTTCTTATTATCAATGTTGATTACCGAGACTCACTTACTGATGACTTTAAACAGCTTTCAAATGTCAAATTTGTCTATCGCTACGAAGAATCATTATTGAAAAATGACACTGTAATTAGCAATTATAATAATCTTCGCTTTCGATTAACATATAATCTTATTGGTCACTATAAAAAATTAGGTAACGATTGTAGTGCCAAACAAGATGCGAAAGCAGCTAAAGATATGGCTACAAAGGCACGTGAACTTTGCAATATTCTTGCTGAATTATAAAAAACTCAGGACATACATTCTTGTTTATAATTTAAATATAATTTGATCATATTTTAATCAAATTTTGTTTTAGATGCAAACTGTCCACAATCGTAGCTTCTTAAGAGAGATACTTTCTTAAAAAAGCTAATAGCTATTTAATGATTCTATAGCTACTTAATGTTTTCCTATAGCTACTTAATCAGTCTACAGCTGCTTCAAGTGTTGCTTTGACTATTCAAGCATCCCACGTTTATTTTAAGTTGCTGCTCCTATTTAGAGTTTATGTACCGATTAAAAGACTCCGCAATCATTTTACCATAACACAACGATTAAAAAACTCGTGGTTGATTACAAAAACCCATAACTATTTATAAACTAAGAGCAATTTAAACAATATAAAATATTTCTTTTATTATTTTATAGCTATTATAACCTTTCAAGGCTATGTGAATGGTTTTATAAACATCGCAAAAAATCTATACTCAAGATTATTTGAATCGTTAATAGTTGTCTTTAGATGCTTGCACGCTTTTTTGTATGTGGCTCATAACTTGACATTTTTCTCTCTTTCCTTTCTCGCTACTATGTATAAATGAAATACCTCTCATAATCTCATAAAGGATCTACATCTGCAAGGATCATCATATTATGAAGAAGAATCAACTGAAATATTTTCACAAACGAATATGCAATTTAAGTCATCTATATCAGAATTCTTTTTTACAAGCCAAGTAACAATTACAATTATAAATATTTGAATTCTGTGTTACAAAGCAAGCACGGATTCTAATTATGAATATTTGAATTTATATTTTACAAAGCGCTTGACTGATTTAGATCAATAGAAAAATATTTTCTACATATGAAATACACGTTGAAATTATGAATACTCGCACTTTTTCACACGCGAAATAGACATTGAAATAATTAATATTTTGACTTTTTTTTCACAAGGTCTTGCTCTAATGAAACCATTAAAAAGTGATTCAAATTATAAATATTTGAATTCTGTTTTTTACCGTCCCCTGATACCAAATAGTGATTCAAATTATGAATATTAATTCCTTTTTATTTAAAAATTTTTTAGGAACCCGATGATGAAATTTAATCATTAAGAAAAAAGAGTTAAATCATAAATATTGGATTTGCTTTTAGGAAGCAAATAGAGATTCAAATTTTAAATGTTTTGATTTTTCATCACGAACCAAATAGTGGAATGATTAGTATTTTGATTTCTTTCACGGACCTCTTGCTCTAATTAAACCATTAAAAAGTGATTCAAATTATGAATACTTGAATTCTTTTTTTTCAACCGCCCGCTGTCCTCCATGTTCAAGGTATAGAAAACTATTAAGTAGCTGTGATTAGCAAAATACAAGAGAGTATTATGGAAAAGTATCTCTTTTGAGAATGAGCCAATCACGATAATTGTCATAAGTTGTCAAAGGAAGTTTTTGTCGAAAATTCATCAATTAGTAAGTATTTTTCTTCGTTTGATATCGACGATGAGTCATCATATGAAGACAAAAATGAAATCGATTGATCAGTCAAATAGTCATATGAACCATTTTTTAAGAATTTATCTCAAGAGATCATTATTAACCTTTTGCAGATTACAAAACGAATTTGGATAGTAAGACACAAATAAGTCTTTATCCCCTAATCGAAAATATCGATCTATTAGTCTTTTACGAATTTGTACTCGAATAAATCTCTTGAACATACATGGAAGATATGATTCGTTAGAAATGAATACAATACCAATAATAGTAACAAGGCTACTAAAAATCAAGCAAGAAAATAGACCGAAACGAGCTTGCTGTAGTAAAATGTGGTGGATGTTGGACAGTATTGACTCCATGCTTTGATCAAGAGAAAAGCAAGATATTTTAATTGTCGCATAAAAGGCACATTGTGTAAAACATGATTTTGTGTTCCTTTTATAACATTAGTTTTTCTTAAGTTGAATTTGCAAGATGCTGGCAAATAATCGAACTTTGGCTTCAATCATTCTGACGAGTATTCTAATTCATTAGTTTTCGTTGATAATATAACTCTGATATTCTTCTTATACATCATGCCGAGACATGAGCGTGTGGGTGTTTAGCTGTCGGTGATCGTCTTTCTTCCATCCACACCCTCTTAATTAAAGATTTATAATTTATATAAATTTAATTTTTTGCGTTTTTGCTATTTTAATCATAGCTGGGCAAGTTCAAGGCTTCTCAAGTCAAGTCAAGTCCCTAAAAAAATTTCAATTGAAGTCACGTCAAGTCAAGTCATATCCCAATATTTTTTTTCCATCAAGTCAAGTCAAGCCAAGTCAGACTTGACTTGACTTGAGACATTTTTTATTTGACTCGTCCAGCTCCAATTTTAACATGGGTGTGCTAGTTTGAGATTAAAATTTTTCTGTTTCGTTCTTGCTATGTCAACGAGGAGGCTGTTTTTTCATTTATTTTCAAAGTTGTAAGAGGCAGTTAGCACTCGATTTATATTCGAACTCGAGTTAGGCAACTCACGCATGTAATATGTTTTTCCCTCTGTCATTATGTGAATGTTAGAGTAATCTGTAAATCGTTATCTTCTCAAATCGTTTGATTTAGTTCAAATGATGATCTTTTTTGCAATCCGTTCTTTTTTCTTCTCTATTATTTTCTACAGTGTAGAGACACTCAGGAGTACATCTAATCTGAGTATGAGGATGTACCGATATTGATATCATCTCTCATTGATCTTCTTTTCCTCTATTCTCTTCATCCTTTCTCTATTATTCTTTCCTATACTCATCTCTACCTCTGTTGCTCTCTCTCCTATATAAGCGTAGGTAGTGTTTGGAATAGACATCTGCTGGAGACCTGAATTAGATCGACAAACATGATTAAAGAGGGTACTGGTATGCTACTGCTCCAAATTGTCATTAAAACTTGTGATTTTGTCATTAGTAAAACTGAGTCAAGATGTCACTCACAGAATAGTAGTATAATGAGAAAAGACTGACGCATTCCACGATTATTAGTGAAATAACGAAGATTCTCTTGCTTTCCATTTTTTGTTCGCATCGATGTCGACGGCAATGTCTACCACTATAATTTCTACATTGACAGTAGTTACATTTGAAATGAATCGTTATTTTTCAATATTGATTCTTTTATTCGGTACAATTGGGAATGTTCTGAACGTGCTCATATTTCATCAACCTAAACATCGAACAAATCCATGTGCTGTCTATTTCTTCTATGCATCAATTGCTGGTCTAATTGCTCTTTATTCTGGCTTAGCTAGTAGAGTTTTTGCCATTTTCTCACTTGATGCATCAGCAACCAATGCTACAATTTGTAAATTGCGCGCTTTCATCGTTTGGGTATCAACAACGGCTTCATCCTGGCTTTTGACTTATGCTACTATCGATCGATATTGTATAAGTTGTCGTGATGTGCGTCGTCGGAATCTAAGCAATCTTCGTTTCACACGCAGATTAATGATATTTGCAGTTGTCAGTGGATCGTTGATATTTGCCGAAACTTTCTATTGTTACGTACCAAATCTTCGAAATTCTCCATTGACATGTTACGGTCAAAATATGGCATGCCGTTTGTACAATGAAATTGCTTCAGCACTCGCATTCGTTTTTATACCATCAATCATTATGCTGATATTTGGATATGCAACTGTACAAAATGTGAGAAAATTACTTTTCTCAATTGCACCGACAACTAGTACACATGGAACAACAATGACAATGAAGAAGACAGATCGACAATTGATTCAAATGTTAATTGTTCAAATTATCCTTTTGACTATATTCAACATTCCATTGGCTATTCAACGTCTCTATTTAACATCAACATTAAATGTTCCAAAAAGTTTGTTGAGATCGGCAATCGAAAATCTTTGTTTTCAGCTATTTTACCTTCTGAGTTTTATGAGTTTTGGAATGCCATTTTACATCTACACATTAACCGGGACCGTGTTCAGAAATGAATTTATGGAATTATTTCGATTCGTTTCTCGAAAAGTAAGAATAGCAGCATTTTAAAGATCGAAGAGTGTGTGTATTCATAACCGTTTTGTGAAATAATCTTATTAATAAATGTTGAAGTATATATTTCGTATCGAAGTTAGCATGTTTATCGAAGTTATAACTTCTATAAACATATTTCATCGAAGTTGTTTGGATGAAGCTAAATACAGAAATCGTTGATTATTTAAATAATATTATTAAACTTGACAGCTATAGTTAATTTTCTACTAAGTGAGAAGCTTACATTTGATAAAAAAATTCAACAATCACAAACTATCAACAAGTATTGAGACAAAACATTCTTTTTTATCTACTCATTTATTTAGCTTCCGTTCAGAAAACAAGAAGTAAATCGTAGAAAAGGTGTTCATAAACATTGATGTGCCATAATTAGGAATAAAAATATAGACTGATAGTCACT